GGGGGGGGGGAGAGAGAGAGAGAGAGAGAGAGAGAGAGAGAAGGAGGCCCAAGCAAGAAGAGAATGAAGAAAAAAAAGAGGTCTCTTGCCACCAGACTCTTCCTCGACCACCGCCGTACTTCCACCCGGAAGCCTATCGACGTCAGAGTTCTACCCGACAGTTGACCGACGCTGCAATTCTGCTCGACCGCTGACCGACGCTGGAGTTTTGCCCCACCACTGACCGACATCGGTGTTCTATTCGACCACCAACTAATGTCAGAGTTCTGCCCGGCCGCCGACTTTCGTCGGACTTCTTCCCGACGTCGAAGGTTTGCCCTTCATCAGACTTCTTCCCATCACCAGACTTTTAACGGACTTCTACCCGACGTCGGACTTCTGCCTATCGCCAGATTTCTAGCTGACGTCGAACTTCTGCCGGTGGCTAGTTTTTCATCAGACTTCTACTTGATGCTAAACTTTCATCGAACTTCTACTCGATGTCAAACTTCCACCCATTGCTGGATTTCTACCCGACGTCGAACTTCTACCCGTCATCGGACTTCTACCGGACGCTGAACATCCACCCATTGCGAAGTTTTAACCTCCGTCGCCAGTCGACTATGGTCCTTCCGATCTGCTTCACCATACAACAATCTTTCTAACTACTATCAACTGTCGACTGCGGTCCTTCCAACCTTCGTCAACAGACAACGGTCTTTTCTAGCCATTATCGTCCGCTGACTACGATCCCTCCAACCACCATCACCAAACTACGGTCTTTCCGACCTCTGTTGTCCGTCGACTATGGTTCTACCAACGAAACAAATATATCAATAATGATTCTTTCAAGTCCCATCATGTAACACACGAAATAGGATGTATATTTGTTACATCAAGCTAAGGCATTCCCTGAAGGAAGGGCCCATTTGTACTCGACTACAAATAATAGTGGATTCATTCAAACTGGGTCAGGCACCGTGGTTTTTCTTCCTTTTCAGGGGTTTCCATATTAAAACTTGGGTGTCTCTTATGAACACTATGCCCTCTCTTTTATCTGCTTGTGTTCTGGGTCTTCGTTCAAAGCTAAGACATTAAATTTTATATTTCTCTACCGCCGCGAATATTCCAGGACGCAACAAATCTATACTCAATAGTAGGGCTTGATTTAATTTATTAGTATTATAGAAAGCGGGTATCCACAAGAGAACAACTATACCTAACAATAGGGTTAAATCTTGGCAGGAGTCTGACGAAGACGACGTGGCAGGAGTCTGACGAAGACGATGATTACTGATGGTGATTGCCTAAGGTGATGGTGGTTGTTGGCACCTATAGCTAGTAGTAGTAGTCG